CACACAGACCCGCCGCCAAACTCGCCGTTCCTCCGCTGCTGCTGAAACGGTCCAGGTCGGTTGTACTTCCAGTAGATCATTTCGTGGTTTGGTGCCAGGCATTTGATGCTGATGTGTCCAGAACGCCCGCACCGATGGCACTGAGGAGGCCCGTGAAATCTCCTCGGCTCACTGCCGACATAAACNCAAACCACGAAATGATCTACTGGAAGTACAACCGATTTCACGGGCCTCCTAAGTGCGATTTCTAGTAGATCATTTCGTGGTTTGGTGCCAGGCATTTGATGCTGATGTGTCCAGAACGCCCGCACCGATGGCACTGAGGAGGCCCGTGAAATCTCCTCGGCTCACTGCCGACATAAACCCCACCAGCCGCATCGGCATTCCTCCAATCGCGAGTGCAACCCATACCTTGCTGCTGCTGCTGTTGCATCGGCCCCGCACGCATACAGGAGCTTCCGCTGCCGCAACTCATCGGCGCGCTCGCCGTTGCCGCCGATGCTCTTCGTTCCTCCATACCTCGTAAAATCACGCTTGTTTGGGACCGCCTGCCANGCGAGTGCAACCCATACCTTGCTGCTGCTGCTGTTGCATCGGCCCCGCACGCATACAGGAGCTTCCGCTGCCGCAACTCATCGGCGCGCTCGCCGTTGCCGCCGATGCTCTTCGTTCCTCCATACCTCGTAAAATCACGCTTGTTTGGGACCGCCTGCCACCATCCCCACAAAAACGCTCCGAGCCCTCAGCTCCATAAAATGCTCTCATACCCTCGTCATCGCCGAACTAACACCTCGCCTAGCTAGGCTCCACACACGATCACTGCGATATATCGTGTTAGTGTGCACTGCCGCCCTCAGCGGTCTGTGGTGTTGAGACTGGGTGCTATGTTAGCCCAGGAACAGCAGATAAAAAAGGACCATGTATTTTATATATATCCGTCAAGCAAGCCCCTCAGGCAAGCTGGTCACCAACACGCAAGCCCCTCAGGCAAGTGCCAAGAGCCAAGAGCACCGTGTGCCCACCCGGAGGCCCCGCTCTTGGACCTTAACTGCACACATATCCATCAAGCCCGTAGTTCCCATACGCGTGTCCCCCACAGAGGATGCACAGATCGGACTCATATCCAAGTACCACAAACAGAGAGCACTGCAGAGCAAGCCAGCCAAGCGAAAAAATCCATCTGTAGACACTGCTGCTGCTGCTGCTGCTGCAGCTGCTGCTGCGGTTTCGCCTTCTTTTTCTTGCTCTCGTTGTTACCCGACATCGTTTTTCAACGATCCCGTGTACAACGTGTTCTAGCGCGAGAAAAGAAAATCTCTTTGACGCCAATGTAGACACCTAAAGCGAGTCAGGGGGCCTCAAGGGTAGTGGGAATACCACACCACTGGCCGTGGCTTCTATTTTCTTCTTTGGTATGTGGCGAGGATAGCCAAGCTCAACCGAGTTGGCTCGGCTTTATTAACCCCTCTGGGACTGGGCTCCTCCCAGCCCGCAAGGCGAGCAGCCTGGAAATGCGGCGGGACTATTCGAAAAATA